GCAGCAGCACACTGCTGCCACTTCCAGGTCGGTGTGATTGGCCATGGGGGACCCTCCCAGTCGCTGCCTGGCTGCTGGGGTGGCAAGTGCCCCCCGACTCAGGAGGCACCAGTTGCCCATACCCAGATCTATGCATGGGGAGGGGGAAGGCACAAACTGCCTCCTATAGGCTCCCCACCCTGCTGCCCTCCCCTGGGGTCTCCACAGCCCAGCGGATGCAGCCCAGCACCGCAGGGCAGAGCAGGGCCATGCAGGAAAGCTGTTTGCCCCTGACAGCTCTGCGCTGCCCTGGTAACGTGTCTGCTATGCATGCAGCAGCAGTGAGGGGCACAACCCCATGCTGTCACCGTCACTGCTGCTGCTGCACACAGAAGACGCATCACTAGAGCAGCGCAGAGCTTGCAGTAGCAAAGAGATCCCTGAGCAGCTCTGCTGTGGGCTGCGGAGGCCACAGGGGAGGGCAGCAGGGCAGGAGCCTGAGCCCGCAGTGGACAGCCTGTGCCCGCCTCCTCCCCATGCACAGATCTGGGGGGCAGGGGTCCCCAGGGTGGGCAGCCTGCTCTCACCCTCGCGCACATCTGGGGGCATGCACAGCAGTGGGGTGCCAGTCCTGCCTCCCCAGATGAGCCACCCGTAGCCCTGTCCCACTGGACTGCAAGCTCCACACATTCCCTGTCTGGGCAGCAGCCCAAGCCCTGCCCAACTCCCTTCCTCCCTCCCTGTGGGGACCTCAGTTCCACCCCCCACACCCCCATACTTACCTGCAGGAGCTGCTCTTCAGGCTGCCTGATGGCCATGTGCATATAGGTGCACATAGCGCCTCCTGCCTGAGTGCCCTCCTCCCAGCCCCCTGCAGGCTGGAACTCTGCCAGCCTACAAAGGGCTCATTGCAAAACTGCAAAATCTGCAGGTTTCTGTGCTAAAATGAGAAATCCGTGTTTTACTCTGTTAAGGGGGAAAATTTGTGGTTTACTCCGTTTTTCCATGGGAAACAGAAAACCCAAATCCCTGATTATCATGTTCCAAACAGGAATGAGATAATTTGTCTCCTCATTGTTTAACCTGTACGTATTCCAAATGAGCATGATGCTTTGACAAAAAGCTTTCTAATGTTTGTGTTTGTGGAACAGCTGGTATCTTTTAAGCTTCTCATTCATGATCCTTGTCTTGCCTATTTCTGAGAAGCAGTATGTTATTATGTTGGTATTGGGAATGGTAGCGTGTTGCTTTTTTTTTCTTTTGCATTAGAAGGTTAAAATGCCATCAGGCTACCTATATTACAAAGGAGAAGGGCTCCAAGAACTTAGGAATAAGCTGCTTGGGTAAACAGGACTGAGTGGTAGTTTTTAGTAAAAGGGAAAAAAGGGTAGTTTATTATTATAAAAGTTAAAATGAAGTATGGTTTATATTGCTACTGATGTTTGCAAACTGAGAGGGAAGCATCTTATTTCTTAATAGAAATGCCTTTTCTGTTCCTTTTGTTTTTTTTAAGAGAAATTTTTCACTAGCTGACGTGGTACAGTGCACGGTTAAATAGCTGAGGTGTATTCCTTCATGTAACACCTGATCCAGATGCACACAAGTCAGTTACTCTTTCACTGACTGGGGCTTTGGATCAGAAAGAAAATAAGACAGTTCTTTCTTGCATAGTCACTTATGTGTGCACAAAATGAGTGGGTGTAAAAAGTGATCAAATCAGCAGTGTGCATAAGTGTAAATAAACAAGCAAGTATTAGTTATAGCCCTCTTGGTCTAAAGGACCCAAAGAACATTCTCTGCCTAATAAACAAGCAAGGAAGTGTTATGCCTTGAGATGTTTTCTTTTTCATTGTAAG